GTCTAGTCTATAGTCTAGTCTATAGTCTAGTCTATAGTCTAGTCTATAGTCTAGTCTATAGTCTAGTCTATAGTCTAGTCTATAGTCTAGTCTATAGTCTAGTCTATAGTCTAGTCTATAGTCTAGTCTATAGTCTAGTCTATAGTCTAGTCTATAGTCTAGTCTATAGTCTAGTCTATAGTCTAGTCTATAGTCTAGTCTATAGTCTAGTCTATAGTCTAGTCTATAGTCTAGTCTATAGTCTAGTCTATAGTCTAGTCTATAGTCTAGTCTATAGTCTAGTCTATAGTCTAGTCTATAGTCTAGTCTATAGTCTAGTCTATAGTCTAGTCTATAGTCTAGTCTATAGTCTAGTCTATAGTCTAGTCTATAGTCTAGTCTATAGTCTAGTCTATAGTCTAGTCTATAGTCTAGTCTATAGTCTAGTCTATAGTCTAGTCTATAGTCTAGTCTATAGTCTAGTCTATAGTCTAGTCTATAGTCTAGTCTATAGTCTAGTCTATAGTCTAGTCTATAGTCTAGTCTATAGTCTAGTCTATAGTCTAGTCTATAGTCTAGTCTATAGTCTAGTCTATAGTCTAGTCTATAGTCTAGTCTATAGTCTAGTCTATAGTCTAGTCTATAGTCTAGTCTATAGTCTAGTCTATAGTCTAGTCTATAGTCTAGTCTATAGTCTAGTCTATAGTCTAGTCTATAGTCTAGTCTATAGTCTAGTCTATAGTCTAGTCTATAGTCTAGTCTATAGTCTAGTCTATAGTCTAGTCTATAGTCTAGTCTATAGTCTAGTCTATAGTCTAGTCTATAGTCTAGTCTATAGTCTAGTCTATAGTCTAGTCTATAGTCTAGTCTATAGTCTAGTCTATAGTCTAGTCTATAGTCTGGTCTATAGTCTAGTCTATAATCTAGTCTATAGTCTAGTCTATAGTCTAGTCTATAGTCTAGTCTATAGTCTAGTCTATAGTCTAGTCTAGTCTAGTCTATAGTCTAGTCTATAGTCTAGTCTATAGTCTAGTCTATAGTCTAGTCTATAGTCTAGTCTATAGTCTAGTCTATAGTCTAGTCTATAGTCTAGTCTATAGTCTAGTCTATAGTCTAGTCTATAGTCTAGTCTATAGTCTAGTCTATAGTCTAGTCTATAGTCTAGTCTATAGTCTAGTCTATAGTCTAGTCTATAGTCTAGTCTATAGTCTAGTCTATAGTCTAGTCTATAGTCTAGTCTATAGTCTAGTCTATAGTCTAGTCTATAGTCTAGTCTATAGTCTAGTCTATAGTCTAGTCTATAGTCTAGTCTATAGTCTAGTCTATAGTCTAGTCTATAGTCTAGTCTATAGTCTAGTCTAAACTCTAGTCTATAGTCTAGTATATAGTCTAGTCTATAGTCTAGTCTATAGTCTAGTCTATAGTCTAGTCTATAGTCTAGTCTATAGTCTAGTCTATAGTCTAGTCTATAGTCCAGTCTATAGTCTAGTCTATAGTCTAGTCTATAGTCTAGTCTATAGTCTAGTCTATAGTCTAGTCAATAGTCTAGTCTATAGTCTAGTCTATAGTCTAGTCTATAGTCTAGTCTATAGTCTAGTCTATAGTCTAGTCTATAGTCTAGTCTATAGTCTATTCTATAGTCTAGTCTATAGTCTAGTCTATAGTCTAGTCTATAGTCTAGTCTATAGTCTAGTCTATAGTCTAGTCTATAGTCTAGTCTATAGTCTAGTCTATAGTCTAGTCTATAGTCTAGTCTATAGTCTAGTCTATAGTCTAGTCTATAGTCTAGTCTATAGTCTAGTCTATAGTCTAGTCTATAGTCTAGTCTATAGTCTAGTCTATAGTCTAGTCTATAGTCTAGTCTATAGTCTAGTCTATAGTCTAGTCTATAGTCTAGTCTATAGTCTAGTCTATAGTCTAGTCTATAGTCTAGTCTATAGTCTAGTCTATAGTCTAGTCTATAGTCTAGTCTATAGTCTAAAATATAGTCCAGTCTATTGGCTAGACTATAGTTTAGTCTATAGTCCCCAAATGTAGACATTAGAGTTCATGAATATCTGATATATAAACTTAAAAAAAAAAACATTAATTAATATCTTACACCTCTCAATAAGCTCAATTTTTAATAAATATATCAATAATAAAACGCATAAAATATAACTTGCTGTAAACTCCGTAATGTTTACTTGTAAGTTATAAATATACTGCCCTCAATAAACTCGGCTAATGGTAAAACAACTTTAAAAAAACAACACACATCAATGAAAACAAGCCGCTCCAATCGGTATCGATAATTGAAAATTCAAACACACCAAAAATCAAAGATTTTTAATTAAAATACATATTTCGTAACAACTGAGAAAACGATAAAAAATTGAATGAAACAAAAACAATTTAACGTAGGAAAAACCACCAACCAAATTTTTTAAGGTGTTACAAAGAGTGACAAATTTTACACTACATAAATTAAAAGAAAACAAAAATATGTAACACTTTTTGTTATTTATTGAATGAGCTATAGTTTGAAATGTATGTATATTAAGTTGAACATTGTGTTTGTAACAAAGTTGAAATATGGGGTATGGATATTTCATATCAAAAGATCCAATTGTTGAAACCGATGTCTCCGGGTAGTCCTATTTAGGCACAATTTTTCAAAAAAAGATCGATTAAGAACTCTCTAAGGTACAGCGGGTCACAGTTTAACGTGGGAAACATGTGTATTTTCTCATCTTTGTAACTTATTTGTTTTTTTGTTAGCATCACGTACTGTTACCATCTGGTGTTCCTATTTTGAGAATACCCTACATGCACAGCTATTTTAAAATGTACAATTGAGATATTCTGTTGTCTAATACAATCAATATCCATACGTGTTAACAACTTAGATGTGTAGATTTGTGGTATCCTAAATCTACAAATTTTAAAAATTTTATCAAATTGGCTCAATGAGTTCGATGAGACTAGACTATAGACTAGACTATAGACTAGACCATAGACTAGACTATAGACTAGACTATAGACTAGACTATAGACTAGACTATAGACTAGACTATAGACTAGACTATAGACTAGACTATAGACTAGACTATAGACTAGACTATAGACTATACTATAGACTATACTGTAGACTATACTATAGACTAGACTATAGAATACACAATATACTAGTCCATAGATTAGACTATAGACTAAACTATAAACTAGACTATAGACTAGACTATAGACTAGACTATAGACTAGACGATAGACTAAACTGTAGACAGGACTATACACTAGACTATAGACTAGACTATAGAAAAGATTATAGAATAGCTTATAGACTAGACTATAGCATAGACTATATGCTAGACTATAGACTGGACTGTAGACTAGACTACAGACTTGAATATAGACTAGACTATACTAGACTAGACTAGACTAGACTAGACTATAGAATTGTTTATGGACTAGACTATGGACTAGACTATAGACTAGACTATAGACTAGACTATAGACTAGACTAGAATATAGACTAGACTATAGACTAGACTATAGACTAGACTATAGACTAGACTATAGACTAGACTATAGACTAGACTATAGACTAGACTATAGACTAGACTATAGACTAGACTATAGACTAGACTATAGACTAGACTATAGACTAGACTATAGACTAGACTATAGACTAGACTATGGACTAGACTATAGACTAGACTATAGACTAGACTAAACTATTGACTAGACTATGTACTATACTATAGACTAAACTTTAGACTATGCTATAGACTAGACTATAGACTAGACTATAGACTATGCTATAGCCTAGACTGTAGACTACACTATAGACTACACTATAGACTAGACTATACACTAGAGTATTAAGTAAAATATATAGATTTGACAATTGACTAGACTATAGACTAGGATATAGAATAGACTATGTACTCTAAACGGACAAATTAGGCAAAATTGGGTCATACACACTTTCTACTAATTTTGCCAAAATTGAAAGGCCTAATATTTATATAACTATAACTTTTTAAAAAAAAACTTAAAGAAAACATATACATTTAACTCATAGTCGTTCCAGCTGAACAATTAACACTTTTACCAATTTGTTTTCAGTTCCAATACACATTTTTTGTAGCTTCTCCCGTTACAGTTTTAATAATCTTAAGTGGTTTGTAATAACGACTAACAACTTTATTTGTAAAGATAATATCAGGGGGCAATAAAAATAAAAATCGAAAAAAAAATAAAATAAGAAAAACTATCAATAACCAAGAAAATGGTTAAAGCAATAAAGAAAAATTGGCAAAAAAATAAACCAAAAAGTTTCACTGGTATTTTGTTTAATAAAAAAATTTAAATAAAATAAAAAGGCTTAAGATTTCATAAAAATTTTTGGTATTTGGATGTTTAAAACATTAAATTTTAAGTTGTTTTTAATAAAAAAATCAATGCAATTTTTAAATAATTTAAAATTTAATGCAGTTAAAAATATTTTTACTAAAAAGTGAGAAAATGTAAAAACATCTTAAGATTATTTTTGTTTTTGGCAAAAAACAAAATAAAAAGCGAAAAAATATAAACTTCGAGAAGTTAAGAAAATAACAAGAAGAAAAACAAACTGAAACTTTTAAACCTGTTTGTATTGGTACAGATCGGTGGAATGAATACACACATGTATACATTAAACAAACTGTTGCTGCTACTTTAAGTAGGTATGCGAATGTAAAGCTGAGTAAAGTGAATAGAAGAAACCATACAACTACACAAACAAGGTAAAAACTTTAACAAGTTTTTGTATTTTTTTTTAACAAAACAACATAAAAAGCAAAAATATTAACAAAAACAGCAGCGCAACAACAATAAACAAAAATATTGAAAAGTAACAGATTTCTAAACAAACAAAATTATAAAGAAAAAATTTATGCTTAATAAAATAATAACAAAATAAAAATGTTGTTAAATTAGTAACAGTTTTTGATTTAGCATTGCAAAAGGTATCTGATGTTAAAACCACAAGTACATACTTCAATAACATGAAAACTGAGAAGTTTAAACAACAAACAAAATGTAAAACAAAATTTTCGCAAATTGAGGTCTTTATGCAACAAAGTTATTAGAAATATTTAAATAAATTTGCAACAAAACTTTAGATACTAACGACTCTCTGTATTCCTTCTCCTTTTACTCATACCACACTCAAACTCAAATTTAACCAAACATCTTACTTTTTGTTAAGGCCTTCAAAAATTCCTGGCAAAATAATCCTTTTGTTTTTTGGCAGCTTAATTTTATAAAAAATTTAACTCGTTCTTAACAATTTCCTTTTATTTTTATTTAATTTCCCACTTTTCCAAATTTTTTTTTTTTTTAATTTCCAAACTTTCTTGTATATTTTTCTTTAATTTCCTTTTAAAACTTTAATATTTTTTCTCACTTTTTGCTATATTTTGTGCATTCTCTTTTAATAAGATTTCTATTTTATTCACACTTTTTGCTTTTATCTTATTCTCATTTAGATTTTTTTGCCTCTTTTTTATCTGTTGTTGTTATTATTTACAACACACTCGTTTTTGTTGTAGTTGTTTCTTTAAAAAACCCACAATTCCGTTTGTTGTTTATATCCGATACGTCTTCAAACACGACAACAGGTAAAACAAAACTGTTGTTCGAATTTCTAGTGAGCAAAAGCGAACTCTTTTAAAATGTTATTTGCAGTTTTGTTATTTTTTTCCAGTTTCTAGATCATTAAGAGGATTTTCAACTTTCAATTGTGTGGTGTATTCATTGCAGTTCAGTTAAACTCTAGTTAAGTTAAAAGAGTAAAAAAACCAAGAGTTTTTCATTAGTTTACTCTAGCTAAACGAAAGACTTAAGCAGCAAACATGTTGTGAGGGTATGGTGAGTATGGGAAAAGAGTTAACTTGTGCGACAAACATTATTCAACACACATGTTGGTGGTGGAAAAGAGTTCTTCAAACATACTTTTATAATTGTTAGTGATAAATTATGTTAAACAAAGCAAACTCACAAAAAAAATATTCTTATTGAAACAGAAGATTTAAGAAACGAACGTGCCAAAGTGGCAAGGAAATACATAATAGTCTAGATCAGTCATGATAATAAATTTTTTAAATAGTAATAACTTATATCAGACTACTAGACAATACTACATATTAGACGACAGATTAGACTACTTACCAGATTAAAGACTAGACCATAGACTATAAACTAGATTATAGACTAGACTATACACTATAAATTAGACCGTAGATTAGAATATAGCCCATAAATTAGACTACGCTATAGACTAGATTGGACTATAGACAAGACTATAGACTAGGCTATAGACTAGGCTATAGACTAGACTATAGACTAGACTAAGACTAGACTACAGACTAGACTAGAATATAGACTAGACTATAGACTAGACTATAGACTAGACTATAGACTAGACTATAGACTAGACTATAGACTAGACTATAGACTAGACTATAGACTAGACTATAGACTAGACTATAGACTAGACTATAGACTAGACTATAGACTAGACTATAGACTAGACTATAGACTAGACTATAGACTAGACTATAGACTAGACTATAGACTAGACTATAGACTAGACTATAGACTAGACTATAGACTAGACTATAGACTAGACTATAGACTAGACTATAGACTAGACTATAGACTAGACTATAGACTAGACTATAGACTAGACTATAGACTAGACTATAGACTAGACTATAGACTAGACTATAGACTAGACTATAGACTAGACTATAGACTAGACTATAGACTAGACTATAGACTAGACTATAGACTAGACTATAGACTAGACTATAGACTAGACTATAGACTAGACTATAGACTAGACTATAGACTAGACTATAGACTAGACTATAGACTAGACTATAGACTAGACTATAGACTAGACTATAGACTAGACTATAGACTAGACTATAGACTAGACTATAGACTAGACTATGACTAGACTAGATAGACTAGACTATAGACTAGACTATAGACTAGACTAGACTAGATAGACTAGACTATAGACTAGACTATAGACTAGACTATAGACTAGACTATAGACTAGACTATAGACTAGACTATAGACTAGACTATAGACTAGACTATAGACTAGACTATAGACTAGACTATAGACTAGACTATAGACTAGACTATAGACTAGACTATAGACTAGACTATAGACTAGACTATAGACTAGACTATAGACTAGACTATAGACTAGACTATAGACTAGACTATAGACTAGACTATAGACTAGACTATAGACTAGACTATAGACTAGACTATAGACTAGACTATAGACTAGACTATAGACTAGACTATAGACTAGACTATAGACTAGACATAGACTAGACTATAGACTAGACTATAGACTAGACTATAGACTAGACTATAGACTAGACTATAGACTAGACTATAGACTAGACTAGACTAGACTATAGACTAGACTATAGACTAGACTATAGACTAGACTATAGAC